GTCTCTGACAATAGAATTTAACGTATACAGGGTACCCCGTGTGGGCCTTATACACATAAGCACATCTCTTGCCTAAGGAGAATTCTGTTTCATATCAGGCATAAACACCTTCAATTTTAAGAAGAGCTATGTGTTCTCTTTGGTTCCAGAGACTTTGCTTGTAGCCAGCAAAAAAAAAAAAAAAAAAAAAAAAAAAAAAAGGTCTTACACTGCTAAAAATATTTGCTGCTTCAAAGTCTGTTCCCAGCAGGGCTCCATAGACGCCAAGATGGTGGAAAAAGATTTGTTGTTGTTTTTCAAGTCAGGGTTTCTCAGTGTAGCCTTAGCTGTCCTAGAACTCACTCTGTAGACCAGGCTGGCCTCTTTTTAAAAATTACTTATTTATCTTTATTTTATGTACATTGGTGAAGGTGCCAGATTCTTGGAACAGGAGTTACAAACACTTTTGAGCTGCCATGTGAGTGCTGGGAATTGAGCTGGGGTCCTCTGAAAGAGCAGCCAGTATTCTTAACTACTGAGCCATCTCTCCAGCCCACCTTTTTTTTTTTTTTTTTTTTTTTAAAAAAAAGCCTATCAAGTCCAGTTGGTACTGCCCATATGCTCTTGAATGTGTGGCCTTTCTTAAAAGGTGGTCATCCCGCCAGCAACTGTCCCCTTAGAAAAAACTGACTCTTTCCTCCTTTCCCTTCCATCAGCTATCAGTTATTAATAACTCCATAGCTAGGGCTGAAACTTCGTGCCCACCTGGCCACGTTATCTTACTTAAGTTACGTCATAGCTCTATGAGTGGATGTTTTGATTGTCACTATTTTACAGAGTTCAAGGTCACAAAACCAGAAAATCAGAAGAGTTAGGATGGTATCTTAGCCGGTCCAGTTCCAGAATGTCCCATACTCTTAACTGTCCTGTTCTAGAGCTGCTTGCTTTCCTACTGATAATTTTACATATGGAGGACTTTGTCAGGAATGCTCAGCTGAGTAGCTCTCTATTAGGTAACATGCATCACATGTAACATTGTAATGTGTCCAGTACTTGAAATGGACTGTGGAATGTGGTTCAGCCTCCCCATGTGATGAGTTCCTTCTTGAGATGGTGTTGTTGTTGAGATGGTACAGTCCTACTGTCACAGTGTGTTCGCAGGACAGTGATGGTGGAGACTTGACTGGATGAGTCTGGTTTTCAACCTTAGTCCTTCCCTGTGTGCTGGATGGACACCTGGGTTGCTAGTTGTGAGGTCTGGGAGGGCAGAGGCCTGGTCCCTTTCCTTTACCACAGGCTTCTCAGCGATAAGCACAGTGTTGGATGCTTAGGCCATTCCTTGAAGGACACTAAGAAAATGAGTTCCTGTCAAGGTACATAAAAGCTTCATGGGCAGGAAGTATTTTCATAGTTTGCCAGCGCAGATATGCCCTAAGTTAGACTTTTTTGAATTTGGGTAGGAGAGATACAACTGGAGCTGCTACTCTCCTGCTCTGAAACAATCTATGGCTTCTCAGAGTTCCTCTTACAAAGCTTAACATTTGAAGTCCTTCAGAGCTAGAATGTGACTATTCATTCTTTTGTCTGGCTAATGAATATGTGAAGTGTCCTCTCAGTGCCAAGCACTGTTGAAGTATCATTGAAAGACACATCACCATATTTCCTATACAAACCATAACCTATGGTCAAGACACTGAACATTTTCACCTTCCCGAAAAGTCCCCTGTACTCTATGATCCATTTCCTTCTTCTCTCCCCTGTACCCAACAGCAACTGATCCAGAAGTGACTTTAGCAAGTACCAGAGGCAGATGGCACAAAGCATGTGCTGGGCAGAGCTGGGAAAACCCCTAGTCCAGCCTAAGGGAGAATTAGGGAGGTTTCTAGGAGCCAGTACAGTCAGAGGGACCAGCAGTGAGATCAGGTGGCACACGTGTGCCATGGAGCAGAGTTGGGCTGCATCGTAAACTCTGCTCCAAATTCTGCCTCAGCTGCCTGCTCAAGGCCTTTAGGAAAGTTCCTGGACCTTACTGAATCTTCGTTTTCTCCTCTGCCAGGCAGGCTGTCTTCCTTTTAGGTAACTGAGGATGAGAAAAAGAAATAGGGAGTTTGACATGTTTGCTCCACAGCTGGTGTAGGACTGGTACTCAATAAGCGATATGTTTGTTGTCATCATTCTGCCACTCTTTAAATCCATTTTTCAGTGCCCAGTTCTGTCTGTGCACTTTGTATGACTGTTTTGGGCCTCTGTATGAATTTCTTCAGCTGGATGTTGGTGGTGCACACCTTTAATTCCAGCCCTTGGGATGCAGAGCCAGGTGGATCTCTATGAGTTCAAAGCTAGCCTGGTCTGTAGAGCAAGTTCCAGGACAGCCTGAGAAACCCTGTCTTGGGGAGTGGAGGAATGACTTCTTCCATCAATTGTGGTGCCACCTTCAATCGAGACAGATTGATCTCTTATTAAGTCTGAGGCCAGCCTAGTCTACATAGCAAGTTCCAGACCAGCCAGGGATATATAGTAAGAACATGTGAGAAAAAAAGAGAGGAGGGAGGGACGGAGGGCAAGCTAACTTTCTTCCACCTAAAAATCCTTTCCTCCTCCTCGGCTCAGTTTAGATACTGCCTTGCCTGAGAAGCATCCCTTGTCCAAAGACTGTTAATTCCCTCCTGTGTTCCTATGACTCTTCAGACCTGAGTTGTCACTTCATCTGCTTAGGGCTGCCTTAGTGGCTTAGATGTGCATCTGTCCCTGAGGACTGTGAACCTTGTGACTGACCTAGAGAGAACTTGAGACTCTCTGCAGCACTGGGTGCTTTCATTCATGGGCCCCCACACCTGGCACACTAAGGGCCTATAAAGAGTTGGAGGAAGGGAGTTGGAAGGCGAGGAGATAAGCTCTCTTTTTCAACAGATCAGTGCCTGGAATGCTGCCACTGTATAAATGGGAGAGGATCCCCAGACCTGTATGCTAAATGACTGCAATGAATTCTTATGGAACCTGTATACTCCACAGGGTTCTTAAGGAGACTGATTGGTCTGGTTGTCTTGATTGTTCTAGAGTGGGCTCTGGAAGTGGAAGGCTGTGGTTGATAACAGCTGAGGCAGTGCCTGACCTTCCTCCTATTTCAATTTCCCCCTGAGAAAGCCACTCTCATGTAGACAGGGTGAAAACTGAGCCTGTCCTCTCTTCATTATGGTGAACAAAGTAGGGTTTGTTCATGGCATGGTCAGGGCTGGAAAAGAGAACTTGTGACTCTAAGCTGAGATCTGCAGCTACTCAGTTAGAATCTTAAAACAAAATTAATTGAGGTTTGATTTTTTTTTCTGGTTATAAAGGGAAAATAATGGTGTATAGAATATGATGCTATTTGTATCAGAAAGGAAAAACCCAAACATTTGCTATGCTTATGACTGTATTCTCATGTAATACCTAGAGAGATCATTAGGATGGCATATGATCAGTGGTTTCCCCTGGGAGGTCATGGAGATTGGGGATATGCTCCCCCCCATCCTTTTCCTCCTTCTCACCTTTCCCCTTTTCTCCTTTTCCTCTTCTCTCCCTCCCCACTTTCTATGCTGGGGATTGAACCCAGGGCCTCATATACATTGAGCAAATATTCTGCCCCTGAGCTATACCCTCGGCCCACACAGTGTTTGAAAAGATGCTTACGTGTTATTGGATAATTAAATCATTTTAAAAGTACATGTTCATTGTTTAAAAATGGGAAAATAAGGGGCTAGAGAGATGGCTCAGATGTTAAGAACACTGGCTGTTCTTCCAGAGGTCCTGAGTTCAATTCCCAGCAACCACATGGTGGCTCATAACTGTCTATAATAAGATCTGGCATCCTCTTCTGGTGCTCAGGCACACATGCAGACAGAATGATATATAAATAATAAATAAATCTTAAAAAATAACTAGGAAATAAGGTCAAATGTGGTGGGGCACACCTCTAATCCCAGCACTTGGGAGGCAGAAGCAGGCAGATCTCTGAGTTTGATGTCAGCTGCTCTATATAGTGAGCCCTTGTCTCAAGAAAAAAAAATACTGGAAAAAAGAAAAATACTGAAGAATATAATGAAGCTATAATTCCCTAACCCCAAGATAACCAGTATGTTCTGGGACTTCTCTTACCTATTAATATGTGACTACATAGACGTTAAAAGAAATTACAAGCCTGGTCACATTAGAGTTTTGTGTCCTTTCTCTTCCCTTCTCCTGTCTCCTCACCACTAAAGATGCTCTAAAAAGCATGGTTTTTAACAGTTATCTTATATTCCTGGGGTGTGGCCATGGCTTCTGTTAGATACAAGGGGTTCCTTACACCCACACGCTCCTTGGAAGGCCTCTGGTTGGAACAGCCAAGTACTGTCATATTTGTGGGTTGGCAGATGGGCTCTTGCTGACTAACCTCTGCCATGTTAACACGTGGTCTTTTGATCCGTAGCACCCTGAGCAGAAGGCAGACCGGTATTTTGTGTTATACAAACCGCCCCCTAAAGACAACATTCCTGCCCTAGTGGAGGAGTACCTGGAATGTGCCACCTTCGTAGCCAATGACCTCGACTGGCTCCTGGCCTTGCCACACGATAAATTCTGGTGCCAGGTAACATCCTATCAAATTAACACTAAGACAAAGCATATGACATCTCCTTGGTTGGTTGCTGTTGTTTTTCTCTTCCCTAGGAATTGCTTTTTTTGTCTACTTTCCTTGGATCCTTAACAGCAAATTGTGGTTTGGACTGCTGTCTCTTATTGCAACCTTCCTGACATTTACACACTGAGTGTCACTTTAAGAAACTGTAGGCGGTCCTGGGCTCATTTATACCTCCTTGGTCCCTTGGGGTTGGAATGTTTGCAGTAAGCCGGGCTGAGGGGCCGTGAGCGCCTGTGTAATCTACACACAGACCTTCAGCCTCAGGAATCAATCCCTGCTCTCCTCTCTCGCCTGGTTCAGGTTATTTTTGATGAGACCCTGCAGAAGTGCCTGGACTCATACCTGCGCTATGTACCCCGAAAGTTTGATGAGTGGGTGGCCCCGACCCCTGAGGTTGCCGACATGCAGAAGCACCTACACCGAAGCGTTTTCCTCACCTTTCTTCGAATGTCCACTCACAAGGAATCCAAAGTAAGTCTCTGACCCTGTGACAAGTCACCGGTTGACACCCAACCCCTCTGTGCCAGACTCTACCCCTGGGAAAAAAAGCTCTGAAAGTGTCAGGTTTCCTCTTTGTCTCCCTCTTTATTCTTGTCTTTTGGGGAAAAAAAAATCTGTGCCACTTACTTTCCTTATCCTCTAATCCACCTGCCTGTCTACAGTACACCCAGTGTTTTCATCAGCAGGAACCCCAGGGTCCTTGTCACAGTTGACGTGTGACTGTGACTTTACTCATGTGGCAGAGACTAATGACAGTGATTCTGAATTGAAGAACTCATGTGAACTTTTGGAAATATTTAATTTAATTTTAATTAATTTATATATGTGTATATATTTCCATGTATGTTTTTACACATTTGTGTGGGTGCCAAAGAAGCCAGAAGAGGTCACATCTCAGGAGCTGTAGTTACAGGTAGCTGTGAGCCACCCATGGTGGGTGCAGGGAACTCACTAAGCCATCTCTCTAGCCCCTCATGTATGCACTTAAAAAATCATTACTGAGCTGGGGGTTTGGGAGTTTGGCTTAGTGGTAGAGCCTGGCATGAAAGAAGGTTCATCTCCAAAAAATCATTAATGCTGTCTTCAATAATTCCATGTTACAGAAATACTAGAAAGATCGTGAGTGCCACTCACAAAAATGCCCTGGCTTAAACTTACTACCACTTTAATATTTCTTCGTGTCTGCGCATGTATGTATAAGGTGCGCCTGTCAGAGGACAGCTTGCACATGTTGGTTCTGTACTTCTACCATGTGGGTCCTGGGCATCAACCTCGGGTCATCAGGCTTTGCTGCAAGTGCTCTCAGCCACTGAGCCACCCTGTCAGTGTGACTGTTAGCACATCTGATATCGCTGCTGTTAATGTACATGTTCCTTCAGGGACTTTTTGTTCTTTGAGTGTATGTGCACATGCGTGCCACCACACATATATAGAGGTCATAGTACGACTTGTGAGACTGGTTTCTACTCTTGCCCTATAGGTCCTGGGGATTGAACTCAGGCCATCAGACTTGTTGGCAAGTATCTTTACATACAGAGCCATCTCACCACCCTTCAAGGTCACTGCTGTTATTGTGCATATTCCTTCATGGAATCTAAATTTTCTTTTTAAGATTTGTTTTGTGAGACATAGTGACACACACCTTTAATCCCAGTAACTCAGGAAGCAGAGGCAGATGAATTTCTGTGAGTTCAAGTCCTGTCTGATCTACTTAGTGAGATTCAGTCTAAAAAAAAAAAATATATATTATTTTTAGTTGTATATGTGTCTATGTATGTGTTGGTGTGTCCAGGTGCCTATGGAGTCTAGAGATACCAGATTTCACTGGAGTTGTAGGTGGTTGTAAGCTGCCCTGTGTGGGTACCAGGAACTGAACTCAGGTTCTCTGGAAAAGCAGTGTGTGCTTTTAACTGCTGGGCCATCTCTCCAGCCCCAGCATTTTTTTTTTTAAAGATTTGTTTAATTTTTACTTATTTATGTGTATGACTGTATGTATATATGCTCATGTGTGCCAGTACCCAGGAAGGTCAGAAGAGGATATTGGATCCCTTGGAGCTGGAGTTACAGGCAGCTGTGAGCAGTGTGGGTGCTGGGAACTAAATTCCAGTCCTCTGCAAGAGCAGAAAGTACTTCTAAATACTGAGCCATCTCTCCAGCCACTCCCTCTCCCCCTCAAGATCCAATATTTGAAATTCTCTGTTCCCTGCCATACAAAACCTTCCTGAGGGAGGGGCCAGAGAAATGGCTCAGAGGTTAAGAGCACTGCTTGCTCTTCCAGAGGTCCTGAGTTCAATTCCCAGCAACTACATGGTGGCTCACAACCATCTATAATGAGATCTGGTGTCCCCTTCTGGCATTCAGGTGTACATGGAGGCTGAACATTGCATACATACATACATACATACATACATACATACATACATACATACATACATACATACATAAATAAATCTTAAAATGGGGGGGGGGAGGATTGAATCTTGGGGATGAGATGTAGTTTGGTAGTACAGTACTTACTTAATATGCACAGGCCCTCGGTCTGGTCCCTGACACCACAGTAAAAAAGGTCTTGTTTTATTTGCTTCTTTGTTTGGAGGCAGGATCTCCCCATGTAGGCCAGACTGACCTCCAACTCACCATTGTCCTGACTCAGCATAGATAGATAGATAGATAGATAGATAGATAGATAGATAGATAGATAGATAGATAGATAGACAGACAGACAGATGGTTTTTAATATGTATGTACACCGTGTGGGCATGAGACCTTGGATGTCAAAAGAGGGCATCAGATCCGTTGGAGCTGGAATTACAGGTGGTTGTAAGCTATCATGTGGGTGCTAAAAACTTGAAAACTGAACCTGGGTCCTCTTCGAGAGCAGTAAATGCTTTCCTCTGAGCCATTTCCAGCCCCTCTGATTACTGATTTTTATAGGCATTCACCAACAAACTCAGTGGATCTTAATTTTTAAACTACATTTTCATTATAATTAAATCTCAAATATATGCATATACTTGAGTTTTACGTGGCTGGGCCCAGTGGCACATGCCTGTAATCCCAGCACTCAAGGAGGCAGAGGCAGGTAGATCTCTCTGAGTTAGAGGCCAGTCTGGTCTACAAAGGGAATCTAGGATAGCCAAGGCTACACAGAGAAAACCCTGTCTCAAAAAAACTAAAAAACTAAAAAGAAAAAAAAGAGTTTCATGTACACAGAACAGTGAATCTCATGTCCCCCTCACACTACTTCTATACTTAACCAATATTTTGTCAACCTTGTTTAATCTGGGTTTTCTTATCTGATTAAAGTGTTTTGATATAATCCCAGACCTGTGCTGAGTTAGCCCTAACTACTGAAGAGCATACCCCCAGCTGACTCTTTCGTGGTGTGTTTCTGTTTGCATGAAAATGCAGAATCACAGTAGTCCTGGGTCTTTTCACTGAAGTTCAGACATATGTACAGCATGGGCATGCTACCCTTGATTAGCCTGTCCCGGCTGGTGAGCATTAAGGTGGTTTCTCATGAGACTGCTATTGTAGTGTCTCCACTCAGCCTCCATCCTCTTTCCTCTTTAGGATCACTTCATTTCTCCATCTGCATTTGGAGAGATCCTCTACAATAACTTCCTCTTTGACATCCCAAAGATCCTGGACCTCTGTGTGCTCTTTGGAAAAGGCAACTCACCACTGCTCCAGAAAATGATAGGTAAGTAGGACATAGGACCCCAGGGAAACACAGGGGTGGCCCCATATGCCAAACCAGAGGCCACAAATGCCTGTGCTTGGATAGCATAGGAGTATTAGGGGCAAGTGTTAGGGGAACATGAGATTCACTGTTCTGTGTACATGAAACTCTTTTTTTTTTTTTCTTCTTAGTTTTTTAGTTTTTTTGAGACAGGGTTTTCTCTGTGTAGCCTTGGCTATCCTTTGTAGACCAGACTGGCCTCTAACTCACAGATGTAATACATATATAACACATACATACATTCATATACACAGATGTACTACATACATACATATGTATACACAGATATAATACATACATACATAATACACACATGGATATGTCAACTCTGAAATAAAAGACTAGGGAGTCAAGACAAAACCAAAACTGTGCCGGGCAGTGCTTCAAGAATCTGCAAGTCTTGCAGCACTCAGGAGGTTGAGGCAAGAGGGTTGTGCATTTGAGGCCAGCTTGGGCTACATAGTCCATGCCACAGTGGACTATTAAATTGGGACCTTGTCTCAAAACAACAAAATATCTGGAGGTACTAGTGTTAGGATAGGTGTCAGTCAGTGGCAGGAATGAGATGTTTTTGTTTGTTTTGTTTTTTTCAAAATAGGGGTTTCTCTGTGTAGCCTTGGCTGTCCTGGACCCACTTTGTAGACCAGGCTGGCCTTGGACTCACAGAGATCCACCTGTGCCTGCCTCCCCTAGTGTTGGGATTACAGGTATGTGTCACCACACTGGGCTAGGAATGAGAATTTTGCTTTGGCAATGAAAGTCAGATTGCAGTGACATTAGCCTTTATCGGAATGTGGCCTGGGCTCTTGTCATGACATGCACATCTTATTTGTTATCTCTACTAGATGCTGGGATTGATGCTGTAAATATCCCCATTTACAGATGAATTGACTTAGGTTGACCTGTAAGGGACTTGATGAAAAGCCTGTAGGAGTCAAGTGGCCAAGCTGGAACTTGTTACAAAGAATTGACCCTGGAGCTCTTGTTCTCTCTGCTCCCTACGTCAGGGATATGGGCTGCCTCCAAAGCAGCAGATAGTCAACATTGCCGAGAGCAGATGGGACCATGGTCTGGAAAATGGAAATGGAAACACTGAATTGGCTTTCCTAGGACAGAAGTGGGCTAGAAGGTTTGCTCCACAATGGGAGTGGGGGGGCTGCTGCAGAGGGTGTGCCTCAGCTGATCGCTGCTTTAACTGGAGTTCAGAGTACCGGGTCTGGAACAGGGCCGCGTTTATTTGAGCACTCCTGCCAGCCGTCCTCATCCTCCGACTGTAGGCCTCAGTTTCTAAATATCTGACTGCGAAATTGGGTAGCACTTTCTGAAGGAAGAGGCTCATGAGTTTAAGTCTGGCCTAGACTACATAACAAATCCTGGCTTAAAACAAAACAAAAAAAGCCAGACAGACAACTATCCCTTGGAATAGTCCTCTCTTTCGCTCCCTTTTTTTCTCTCCTAACAGAATTTGTGTGCATATATGTGTATACATATACATGTGTATGTATAAAGTTATAAACTATACATAACTTTAAGTATCTAAAACAAATACAAATTGCTTATATATATAAAGCTACATATGAAATTCTAAATTCTATATAAATATAGAACTGTTTTTTGGGAGGTTCATCTAGCTCTGTTTGTCCTGGAATTCACTCTGTAAACCTGGCTGACCACAGCTAAGCTAAGCAAGTAAGCAAGAACTCTTTTGAGACAGGGTTTCTCTGTGTAACCTTGGCTGTCTTGGGAACTCACTTTGTAGACCAGGCTGGGCTCAAAGTTACAGAGATCTGCCTGCCTCTGCCTCCTGAGAGTGCTGGGATTAATAGCATGCACCACTGCGCCCAGCTAAGGCAAGTACTTTTAACAGAACTACATCCACAGTCTACACATAAAGAATAAAGAAGCAGAAAAACCATTAGTAGACATTTATCAAAACATCTATATTTATTATTTACTTTGGGTCATTTCTCTGTATATATTTTTTATATATTAGATCATAATATATGTGAAATTTTACACCTGTCATTTTCTCTTTTTTTTTTTTTTGTCATTTTCATTAAAACACTCTGGTTTCTTGTTTGAGTCTAATTATTGCCTGAGTATGGGTTAATCTTAGTTATTTTCCAAGAGGGACATTCTTCATAAATTCACTAGAGACCTAGAGGATGGATGAACAAGTCACAGAAAGCATAGTAAGTTAGGGAAACAGTTATGTCACCAGTTTGATTAGAGTGGAAGGTTTCAAGAGAGCAGCAGCAGCAGGAGCCAGGGAAAGGCTCCATTCAGCTCTCTGAAGAGTAGTATTGCCCAATGGTGAAAATGATAGGCCCTCCATTTAATTCCCCATCCAGCTCTCTCAGATTCAGGGTCAGGAGCCTTATCAATGTAGCTATCCAAGCCTTCTATATCCAGCTCTCTTGTTGGGTACATTAGCTTCACCAAGACTGTGAGTCTCTCTAAGCCTCAATTTTTAGAGAGGAAAAGCTGGTGGTTTGCCTTGTTTGTGTGGCTGTGGAAGTAAATAGGAAAAAGTAAGCAACACACATAATACTGGGCCTGGCAGGACATAGGCATTTTGCAAGTGTGAGCTCTTACTGTAAATGAGGCTGTGGAGGCTCAGCTTAGAGCGGGGTGATGAACCATCTGGTGACAAGGCTAATCTATTAAGGCAGCATGCATGTAGGGAAGGTAGAAACAGTAGACAGTCATTATGGAAGTAAAGGTCAGTACCTGGTTAGCTACTGGAACAGAAAAGGACATTGCAGAGCAGAGCCTAGAGAAACAATAACAGTTCTGGAAGAAACAGAAAGAGAGAGAATAGTGCAGAAATAGGGCTTCAGGACTTGATGCTATGCATTGTGAGTTAGAAGCAAGGACACCTTTGAGTGTGTTGGTACAAGATTGCTGTGAGGAGTTGCTGGGAGAAGGATGCTCCGTCTGCTGCCCTGGGCTTTAATCATTTGGGCCACTGGCTCCTTTAAGAATCAGATAAAAGATGGAGTATATAGATTTTGAGAGTTGTTTCTTTTTTGTTTGAATTTTTAAATTACATTTCAAAATTCTATTTTGCTTGAGAGTAGGTTCTATCCTTCCACTAAGTGGTTCCCTAGAGATTAAACTTAAACTAAGGTCAGTAAGCATGGGGAAAGACGCATTTAGCTGCTGAGCTAAATGTGGGCTGTCTTAGTTAGGTTTCTATTGCTGACATAAACACTATGACCAAAGGTAATGTGGAGAGGTGAGAACTAATTCAGCTTACTGTTCCATACCGCATTGCATCTATGGAAGAAGTCAAGGTAGGAGCTGAAGCAGAAGCCAGAAAGTGCTGCTTACTGGCTTGCTCAGCCTGCTTTCTTATACCATCTAGGACCATCTGTCTAGGAGTTGTACCACTGACAATTGCCTGGACCCCCCTACATCAATCATCTATCAAGAAAATGTCCCATGGGATTGCCTACAAACCGGCCATCTGGTGGTGGAATTTTCTCAATTGAGAGTCCCTCTTCTCAGATTAGTGTGTGTCTAGTTATCATAAAATTAGCCAGCATACCATGCCTCTTTTTTTTTTTTTCCTTCTTACTAATGATATGAAGCCCAGTCTGGAACTTCTAACCTCTGCCTCTGCAGATTACAGATGTGGGCCACCGTACCTGGCTTTTCTTTTGTTTTGATGGGGTTTTGTTTTGTTTTGGGACAAGGTCTTACTATGTGGCCCAGATCAGCCTAGATGTTGCCCAGGCTGGCCTTGAAGACAGGCTCCTCCTGCCTCTGCCTCCCAAATGCCTGGATATTAGGTGTACACCGCTGTGCCTGGCTCCACGTCCTTTTAGACTGCTCGCAGACCACCAGGTCGAGGATTCTAAACTGACTCCTTAGGGAGAAAAGAATCTCAATTTTGGCTCCTAGAAGGTGGTTGATCCAAAAAGGCTGCAGACCAGGTGCCTGGAGCCTGTGCGTGATTGGTGGCAGATGTAGAGGAGCCTACAGAGAAGCTTCTCGTTCTTTCTCTCAGAGCAGCCCTCTCTTCAGTCCTTAAGAAGAAAGCACAAGGGCAGCCTCCACTCTCAATACCATGAAGACTGTTGGGCACAGCAGTTTCTTATAAGAAGCCTGCCCTGGAACACCGGCACAGTCCCTGCTCTCTCCTTTTTAATAAGCTGGCAAGGTAGCATTGGTTCTCCACAATCAGCTTCTGAAAGCAGGGCGCAACAGTCAGGAGAAAATGAGGTCATGGGTTCTTCATAGGTTGGCCATCTGTGTGGCAGTGTCTCCTGTTCACCCTGGCCTCTCCGGGAAGAAGGTACCACTGCTTGTTCCCTACCTCTGTACTGTTTCTTAAGAGAGATTGATTTGCTTTAAGATAACAATTGTTTTTCAGCTTTTTGTTTGTTTGTTTGGTTGATTGGTTGGTTTTGTTTTTTTGAGACAGGATTTTTCTGTGTAGCCTTGGCTGCCCTGAACTCCCTTTGTAGGCCAGGCTGGCCTCTAACTCACAACAATCTGACTGCCTCTGCCTTACTGAGTGCTGGGATTAAAGGCATGTGCCAATACCACCCAGCTCGTTTTTCAACTTTTATTTAATTTTTATATGTGTATGGGTGCTTTGCCTGCATGTATGTGTTCATATGTGCATGCAGTGCCTGCAGAGGCCAGAAGACGCCATTCCCTGCCACCAGAGTTACAAGTGGTTGTTAGACACCATATGGGTCCTGAGACTCTAACCTGGGTTCTCCGGAAGAGCAAAAAGTTCTGTTAACTAATGAACCATCTCTCCAGCCCCAAGGTGTAGTTTATTTTATGTGTTCAGGTATTTTGCTACACAAACATACATACATATACATTACCGTGTGTGTGTGTGTGTGTGTGTGTGTGTGTGTGTGTGTGTGTGTGTGATGCCCATGGAGGCCAGAGGAGGGCATCAGGTCTCTTGGAACTGGAGCTACAGATTAGTGTGAGCCACCATGTAGGTCCTTGGAACTGAACCTGAACCCTCTGTAAGAGCAGCAAGTGCTCTTCACTGCTGATCCATCTCTCTGGCCCTGTTTTGTTTGGTTTTGTTTGTGTGAGTTTTGAGTTTTTGTTGTTGTAATTGTTTTGTTTTTTATCAAAAGCAAGGGAAAGTTTGATTGTCATTAGAATCAGATAAAGAAGAGGAAAGAGACTCTGAGATCCCAAGGATAAATTGTGAATTTGAGTTATCTTTTGGGTGTGGTTGTGTAAGCCTTTAATCCTAGCACTTGGAAGGCACAGGCAGGTGGACCTCTGTGAGTTCAAGGCCAGCCTGGTCTACAAAGCTGGTCTACAAAATTCCAGGATAGCCAGAGCTACACAAAGAAACCCTGTCTTGAAAAACCAAAGGGGGGAAAAAGAAGTTTGAGTTATTTTGATGCTTACAAACAAACAAACAAAAACTTTTTCTGGCAGGCAGTGAGGGAATGTCTACCCCATTCTGGATAGTCAGGATGGCAAGAGGGATATATCCTGGCCCTGGGAGTGCCTATGTCAGAATTCCGACGAGAGGAAGTGACACAGATCTAACAGTGGATTGAGCTCTGGTCATTTCAGGCAGAAAAAAAAGAGATAGGGCTGTTATGTGAGGTTAAGGATAGCTCTTATTAGATTCCTCTAAGGGCTGTAGGGCTGGGAGTGAAAGCAGGGTGGTCTAAGGTGCCAGTGGGGGCTAGATTTCTCGGGGCCTTTTGTATAACAGTCAGGAGGTCAGACTTGCCCTGGAGGATCAGGACAAGAGGAACAAGAAGCAAAGGTTGATGGAGGGGCTGGCTCAGGCATTCCCTGCCCCTGTGGAGGAGGAGGATGTAGATGGTCCAGGCGCACCTTCATAGATTACAGGGTCAGTACCTATGGGAGGGAGGAGCACTGAGCTAAGGAGGCGGGGCTAGAAAAACTCAGCTTTTTGGGATCAAGGAGTAAATGGCATCCAGGACTTCACTGATGAAAAGCCCAGCCACTTGTTTGCTCATCAGCCTCACTGGGCACTTGATTGCTTTATGTTTACACATCCTGGAATTGGACCAGGGCTGCAGGGTTATCAGTGTTGTATGCTCTGGCCCTCAAACATACTGTGGGAGAGACAGAGAGGCAGAAAGGAAGACTCCTTTCTCTCAGATGGTTTCTTTGTCCTACTCTTGCCCTTTGCCCTTCTCAAACAGGACTAAAATCTAAGAATTGTCTGGCCACCCTTAGAGTCAGATGGCCTTAAAGCTGCCACCAGCCTGAGAGGCAAAAGTTGTAGTGAGATGAGGCATCTCAGACTCTTAAAGGCATTGGCATTTCTCATTGTCATGTCCCTCAGCTATGATTCTTTCCCTGGTCCTTGCCATTTGGACAGAGAAACCCTGGGTTCTGTTGCAGCTACCATACGCTCTAAGCAGGCACATGCAGCGGCAGGTAGAGACTGGTAAACCTCGGAGATGGGCTTCAACTGAAGAACTACAGATGGGAGCCAAGTCCATCTCTGAGCATCGCTCCTGCTTCCTGTTTGCTGGAGGGTAGATAGAGATGGTAGCGTGTTCAAAAGCAAAGATTTCTCCCTGCCGTCTCCTCACATCTTTTGAGGTGTGACTTGGCAAGAATTATGAGTAGGTTTATTGAATAAAGGAATCATAGTTCCTACCTAATTTTTCCACATGGCACAACTCACAGTTCCACAGCTAGAGCTGGCATAGGAGGCATGGTGCCCAAGTTTGGTCACTCCCTGAGGACATCAGGACTAGCTGGTTTGACAGGGTTCCTCCGCTTTACATAATTCAGAGGTACTTAAAAAGTTTAATTGTACTAAGTAACTTCCGTTCTCAGCCGTGGAGGTTTCTCAATGAGGACAAAGCTCAGTACCAGCTAGGACTGAGACCAAGACCCATTCTAGATCCTCCCCACAGGCAGGCTAAGGGAGAAAGGTCACAGAGCATGCTCATAACCAGTTTTAATATGTCCTCTTCATCCCTCCTGACCTCTCCCCACTTCTTCCCTTTCTCTTCTCTTTTTAGGAAACATATTTACCCAGCAGCCAAGTTACTATAACGACCTGGATGAAACTATTCCCACCATACTTCAGGTACCGTCTCTTAGCCTTGCATGGAAGAGCAAGCTGGATATGGGGAGACAAGTCTTTGGACTTTTCTTGAGGAACCTGGGAGGAATGTTTGCTTTCCAGTCCTTTTCCAAACTCATCTTGAAGTGGTAGAGCATTTATGTAACACATGCATGGCCCTGGATTCTCTCCTCAGCATGGTGTGTGTGTGGGGGGGGCACTCATTTCCCAGATCATCTCTGTCCTACCCTTGGCTGTGTGCCTTTTTGGTTTTATTTTTGTTTTTTTGTTTTGTTTTTCAAGACAGGTTTCTCTGTGTAATGGATTCCTGACTGTCCTTTGTAGACCAGGATAGCCTTGAACTCACAGAGATCTGCCTGTCTCCACCTCCTTGGCTGCATTTATAAATATATAAAAAATTATATATTATATATAATTTTTTATATTAATTACAGTTTATTTACTTTGTGTCCCAGCTCTAGCCCCTCCCTCCTTCCCTCCCAATCCCATCCTCCCTCCCAGCTGCATGCCTTTTAATTCACCCTCTGCCCTTCTTGAACAAGACTGAAATCTAAAGATTATCTGGTACTCACACAAAGGGATTTGATTTGCATTTTGTGTCATTTTCCAGCAGTCTTGTGCCTCCACGTTTCTCCTGTCAGAGACCTGCATTTCTCAGATAGGAACTGTGAAGGTTTATAAAATCATTTAATGAAAGAATTATGTGTATTGTAGAAAATGAGGAATGTTAAAAAACTGAAAGGAACTGGGAATGGTGGCTCATGCTTGTAATCCCAGCCCTTGTGGGGCTAAGGCAGGAGATTGTCTTGGTTCCAGGCCAGCACAGTGAGACCCTGGCTCAAAAAACCAAAAATAAAATTTTGGTTTTGGTTTGTGTTTTTTTTTTGTTGTTGTTGTTATGTTTTCAGTGAGTATGTCTCTGTTTTGTTTTGCTTTGTTTGGGTTTTTTGTTACTGTTGTTGGGTTTTTTGGGGTTTTATTATTTTTTTGTTTGCTTTTCAAGATAGGCTTTCTCAGTGGGGCTATGGCTATCCTAGAACCTGGACCTCACTTTGTAGACCAAGCTTCCCTCGAACTCACAGAGATCTGCTTGCCTCTGCTTCCCGAGTGCTGGGATTACAGGTGTGTGCCACCATGCCTGACTTCAAAAATAAAATTTTGATTACAAAAATCAAGATAATATACCTTGGGAAGATGGCTTAGTAGGTAAGGGTGCCTGCCCCCTAGCCTCAGGATCTCATTTTTATCCCCAGGACCCATATAGTGGAAGGAGATAATGGGCTCCTACAAGTTGTCCCCTGACTTTCACACACATGCCTACACATACACAAATAGAAAGGAAGGAAGAAAGGTAGGTGGAAAGACAACACTACAAATTCCGTCTTGCTTGACTTTTATGACAGATTTTGTTTTTCTGTTAATTTGCCTTTTGTTTAAAAAGCTCAATAATCACTGAGAGTGATGGCACATATCTATAATTTCTGCACTTGGGAAATAGAGACGGGAAGATAAGGAGTTCAGGGCTGTCATCTTTGTCTGCATAGTGAAATCAAAGACATCTTGACCTACCTGAGACCCTATTCAAAACAACAAACAAAAATAATATTTACACACATACAGACATACATCTACACACATACATATATAAATTATCCTATAAATAGTCATCTACAAAGGAATCTAAATATTGCTGAAGGTGTTTCTCAGATATTATATATTTGCTGAGTCTGTCTAGTCAAGTCATAGATGCAGGATTTTTGGGGGGTTATATTTCATATGCATGCTACATGTGTGGTTACTAAAGATGAAACTCAGAGTTTGGTTTTTGAGACAGTGTCTTGCACTATGGCCTAGTACTGGCTATGTAGATCAGGCTGGCTTTGAACTCATAGCGATTCACTCACCTCTACCTTCTGAGTGCTGGGATTAAAGGTATGCAGTCCCACACCCAGCTTGGAAACCAGGGCCTTCCAGGTATGTGGACTGAGCTACACTGTCAGCCCTACACGGTTTGCATTTAATCTTATCCACCATCACATTGGATGCTTTGTCCCTAGGATCCAAGGCAGTTCTTGCGTCACCTCTCCTTAGTTGTGGGGTGAGGATCCTGGGTGCTTGTTCAGCAGGATGTGGAAGAGAGCTTTTTGCCTTTCTTAGGTCTTCAATAATATCCTCCAGCACTGTGGCTTGCAGGGGGATGGGACCAGCACTACACCCCAGAAACTCGAGGAGAGGGCGCGGTTGACCCCCAGTGACATGCCTCTCTTGGTAAGCTTGCCCTTCAGCCCAGCTTCTTCTGTCTGGGAACTTTTAGCCAAAGCCTGGCTGCCTAGGGCTGAGAAGATCAGCAGTGCTACAGAGCACAGCAGTTTCTTCCTGCCTCTGACGTCTTCCTTTGATTTAACCTGTGTTTCTACCTGTGCTGTGGGTTAAGAGACTTTTCTGCAGGTTTTGTTTCTCACTGGGAAACCTTTATGGAGCACTAGAAAGAACAAGGTACTAGGATTTGAGAACTGGGTCTGGTCCTCAGTTAGTTCTGTTCAGCAGGCTCACTCCTGGAACCAGCCATTGATTCCATGAGTCTATACTGAGGGATCCCCAGCATTTGCTGGGTCCTGTGCTGAGCCTGGGGGATAAAGCAGCAAGCAGAAACAGGCATGGTGCCCATCTCGTGGCACTTAGAACTTTAATGAAGGTGAAATAGAAAAAGCGAACATTTAAGGAGCTTGGGTGCTGTGCTTATCACTATAGACAGCTGAGATGAGGCAGCTGTGAGCTACCTTCTTGGCATTTGCCATCTGGTGAGAACATATCCATTGAGCAAGTGTTTCAGAAGCATATATGCCAGGAGCTAGGGAGCAAATCCTCTTAGCATTCTGAGCCTCAGTTTTCTTATCTATAGCATGGAAAGCCCATGAGCTACCCAACTTGCTCCTTCAAGCTGGCATGAAAATCAGCAGAGCAGATGAGCAAACACCCTGTGTCCTGTGTACCCTCTTCAAAATGTGAGCAAAGGGTGGGCTTGCTGCTCCTCTTGTCACCAGGCTGCGTGATCGCTTGCTGGGCCCAGTGTTGAGATTCAGAGTTCATTTTCCTGCAGCACAGAAGAGAGACTATATCAGATGTACAGGTGTCCTTAGCTGTCATTGAGTGTAGACCACTAAGGACGGTTAGGTGGCCCAGGTTACCCTCCTAGAGACAGCCCGATCCAGCCGTCTCCCCTGCCTTGTGCCTCTTAGGCAACTTCTTGCCTGCTGGGGACTCTGGCTTTGTCAGTTATGGTTCAGGCCCTCTGCAGAGCTCTCTGTGGGGCTAGAGAGAATAATACTGTGTCTTTTCTTGACAACAGGAATTAAAGGACATTGTTCTCTACCTGTGTGATACCTCTATCACACTCTGGGCCTTTCTGGATATCTTCCCTTTGGCCAGCCAAACCTTCCAGAAACATGACTTTTGTTACAGGTACAGTGAGTGGGACTTCTGGTTAAAGTATGGGCTTTATCCATGCATCACTCAAATACATATTGGTTTGGTCCTTAGAATATACCAGACTGGGGCTGGAGAGATGGCCAAGCGGTTAAGAGTAGCGGCTGATCTTCCTGAGGAGCCAGGTTCAATTCTCAGCACCCCCATGACAAGCAGCTCACAGCTATCCGTAACTTCAGTTCCAGGGACCCGACACTCTCACTCAAACATACATGCAGGCAAAACACCAGTGCACATACATTTAAATTAAACAAATCATTAAACCGATCAGTCTTCCAGCCTGGGGACGCACAATGAGGAACATAGATAAAACTTGTGTTGAAGGAACCCTCCCAAATTTGGCTAAGAATAGGACAACAAACAAATAAAACCCACAGCAAGAAGACAGTTTCAAGTCTGCCTTGTTTGTTTTGTATACCTTATCATGGGGCACAGAGTGAGAGTAAGAACTGACAAAAGGAGAAACAGCAGAGGTGTTCCTTCTTTGGTGCAGGGGTGTGTGGGAGGAGGATGACTCCTAAAAACAGCTTTGAGTAACAAGCAGGAAGCCTGGTACACTGGCTGCTCTGCCTTCCCAGCTCCACAGGAGGCTAAGGCAAGAGGCTCCCTTGAACCTAATCAACATAAGTAACCAGCTCTCAGAATCTAAGAGAAGGATCAGAATGTTCAGATTGGAAGGCTGGGTGACAGGAAGGGTGTTGAAGCAGATTGAAATGTACTAAAAGCCTAGACTAACTGCCAGGTGTCGTAGTACATGCCTTTAGTCCCAGCATGTGGGAGGCAAAGGCAGGCAGAGCTCTGTGAGTTTGAACCATGGTCTACATCGAGCATTCCAGGCTACATAGAGAGACCCTGTCTCAGAAAACAAACAGACAACAAACTTGGACTGTTCCAGAGAGAACCAAGGATACATTGGTTGAGGACGCCAGCACAACAGGAAAAGGAGTTGATATTAAAATTAGGGTTCCACTGTTTGTTGCCAGATAGAGGCTTTAATCCAGAGAGTCCTAATGAAGACAATGCTAAGATGGAGAAGCACTCAGAGGGACCTATGGAAAGAAGGGAGCCTTTGCCCAGTTAGCATCATGAGATCTTTCTGTACAGTGAGAAGGTGGAGAGCATGGACTTGGGCATTCCCAGGCTGGTGTGAACGGACTGGCAGCTCATTCATTGTCTGGCAACAAAAAGTACTGGCCCATTCCCAGTAGCCCATAACTGTTGCTCTCGCTAGGCATCTCTCCCAAGCATTTGCAGCAGCTTCTGGGAGCTGCCCAACTCCATTTACCCACCCATCTATCCATCCATTCTGTCATTTACTCACCCATTCAACAAAACGTTTATCTAGCTCTGACTTGTGCCAGAGATGGCAGCTGGTCCTCGGCCTCCTCTGAGGTCCCCTGTGCTTGTGAGAGTCAGACATTAGGGTTGACCAGCTTCCCGGGGATCATCAGAATAAAGTGCTGACTGGCATTTCGCAGAAAGGAAAGGGTTTGGGATAGCGCTGTAGCTATTCACTTTTGGGGGGAAAAGGTATTTTTGTATAATAAAAGACCATGTGGAAATGTAGAAAATATAGAAAGCCAGAAACTGAAATCACCCTCAGGAATTATACTGCATTCTATATTTTATACTCTGCCTGTTCTCATTTACTTTAAGCATTTTTCTCATTTTGTCTAAGCATCTCCCCAAATAAGCACAGATGGCTTCTGAGGGAGGGAGTTTTGGGAGAGCAGATTTTTCCTGCAAGACACAGTAGGAGCAGAAGGGTCCCCACCCATCTTGGAGTGTGGGGAAGAAAGAGATGCACTTTAGAAATGACTGCCTTTGACTCACATCTAGCGTGCAGCTGCCCAACCTGTTCCAGCCTGTGCTGCAGGCTAGAAAGCCCTTTGCTAGCCACACCTTGTGCATCCACAGATGCACAAGCCCAGTTCCCACAGCTCTGGGTTAGGGTCACATTTACCCAAACACTCACTTGGCTCTCTCAGAGCCGCTTGCTTCACTTTCCTCTCCCATACCCTCATCCAAGTATGCAGTTTCTGCCCTTAAGTCATGAGTCAGTAGTCCTTCCACTTTGACAGAACTCAAAAAGTGTAAAATAGGGGTTGGAGAGATGGCTCAGCAGATAAGAGCAGGTTCTGCCTCCCAAAGGACAGAGTTAACTTTCCAGCGCCCATGTCTGAGGCTCACAACTGCCTGGAACACCAACTTTAGGTCTTGTGGTGTTTGTGGGCACCATTACACATAAGACACGCACAGTCAAACACACACACTCAATTTTTAAAAACTTTAAAAATGTAAAATATATAGTGGCCTGTCTCCTTCCCCCTTTTCCAGTTCTTTTCTTTGCATGCCAATCTATCACTAGCTTGGGTGGGATTTTCCAGAGAAATGCAGAATAGGAAAATGCGCACATTATATGCTCTCCTACCTTTGCTTTTGCAGTGATGGGAATGAAACTCAGGGCTTTACAAATGCTCAGCAGGAACTCTACTGCTGAGCCACACTCCCCTGCCCACCCCCTTCTTAAAACTGAAGCTGAAACTGCGGGAGCCAGTTCATTGTCTTCAGAGTGACTGACAGCGCTGCGCACCTGGCATACCAGACCCCAGAGACAGATTTTTTAATTGTGTGTGCCTTTTTCAGTTGTTTGCTATTTCAAAATAAATAACATTGTACACACATTACTTCATACCTTTGCAAGCATAGTTGAGGATTAATTCCTAGAAGTGGAAATGCAGGGACAGATGGTGTGTACATCTTTAATTCTCACCCAGCTTGCCGAATGACCCTCCACAGAGGTTGCTCTCCTTTCCCTTCCCACCAGCAACACAGCCTGGCAAGAGTTGAGCCAGCTTGGCCAGACTGCCCTCCCTGGCCTCTGCTGCCGCCTCTTCCTTTTGGCTTGATTGTTCTCTGCTACATGCAGCGCTGCAGTGAAACAGATACTGCAGAAGGCTGCCAGAGAACGCGCACACGCTGCAGAGCGCCCACATGAATTCAGCACTTCACACTAGGCACTAAGTGCATCTCTGACTCCGGAAACTTAAGATGTTTGGAGGAAGATTTAGATTAGAGAAAAGAAGCAACTGCTGTGTCCATTATCGGGACAGGATGTCCTATGTACAGCAAACCTGGCCCCTGGAAGGAAGAATCCTGTGGGTTAGTATAGCCAGAAAGTACACAGTGAGGAGGTAGGCCTGGATTGCTGCAGGGTTTGAAAGGGACAGGGAGGACGAAGAGATGCAAGAAGAAAAAGACAGCTGCTAGTCTCAAACTCCTGGGCTCAAGCCATCTTCCTGCCTCAGCCTCCCAAGTTTCTGGAAGTATAGCCGTAGGTTACTGTGCTGAACTCATAATGTATATGCATATACTTTCTTGAGAAAGTTTTAGATTTACTTTCTTTTTGTGTGTGTTTTGCCTGTGTGCATTTATGTCCACCATGTGCATACCTATGGAGTTCAGAAGAAAGTATCAGATCTCCTGAAACTGGAGATAACAGATGCTTGTGAGTCACCTTGTGGGTACTTGGAACCACACCCAGGTCCTCTGGAAGAGCACCAAATGCTCTTAACTACTGGCCATCTCTCTAACCGTGTGTGTGTGTGTGTGTGTGTGTGTGTGTGTGTAATTTTAATTGTTTTGCTGTTGAGACAGCATCTTGCTGTATAGTCCAGGCTGGTTTCCAACTTGTGATCCTCCTGCCTCAGCTTCTAAAGTGCTCAAATTATTAGCAAGAACCACCACATCTAGCTTATAACTTTATTAAGAGTTGTAGGGCCAAGTGTAGTGGCTAAAGCTTTTAAGATTAGCACTCAAGAGGCAGAAGCAGGCAGATCTTTGTGAGTTCAAGTCCAGCCTGGGCTACAGAGAGAGTTCTAGGACAGCCAAAGCTACATACCAAGACCCTGTTTCACAAAAAAAACAAAACAAACAAAAAGTTGTAGAAAGCAGGCTGGAGAGATGGCTTAGTAATTAAGAGTATGTACTGCCCCCAAGAGGTTCTAAGTTCAATTCCCAGCACCCATATCAGGCGCCTCACAACTAATTCCAGCTGTAGGAGACGGCACCTTCTCCTGGCTTCTGTGGACATTTGTACTCATGTCCACATACCAACGAACACGCACATACACACATAACTCAAATACATCTTTTTTTAAAAAGAGTCATAGTTGGGGCTGGAGAGATGGCTCAGTGGTTAAGAGCAGCCACATGGCAGCTCACAACTGTCTGTAACACCAATTCCAAGGGATCTGACACCTCCACACTGATGCACATCAAATAAAATTAAATAAGTTATTAGGGAAAAAAAAGAGTCATAGTTAAGCTAACTGGCTTAGTTCATAAAACAGATATAGAGTTTAATACATGTAGGTCCTGAGCACATTTAGCCTGTTCTGAATAAATACATTGTGTTGACATTGTTATGTAAATTTTGAGCAAGAAGACAGGTAATCTTCTGCCTGTTTCACAAACCCTGTGTAGTCCTCGGGTCACTTTGTTAGAATAGGCATAGTTTCCATAAGGCTGTTGATGGGGCAGCACAGTGCATCATTCTGAGGTAGGTTCAAAGAAGCTGCTGGGTAGCCCCAGAAAATGGTTATGGGATGAGCTGGGTTGGGGGTGAGGGTAGGATTGACTCAGTAAAGGAAAGTGAGGAGATGAGTTTGACCCCTTCAGAACCCATGTAAAATGTAGGGTGTGATGTTAGTGTTTGTGTGATACCAGTGCTGGGAGGGAGGCAGAGACAGGAAGATCCTGGAGCTGTCAGGCCAGTCAGCCTAACCTCGTTGGTGAGCACCAGACCAATGAAAGATCCTGTCTCTGAGGAGGCGGGCTGCTTTCCTGAGACCAACACCTGAAGCTTACACACACACAAGAACACACACATTATGGCTTCGTGGGAGAAAGAAATAAACCTTTCTGCTCCTTTGGGTTGACTCTCTTTTTCTATCAAAATGTGGTATTTATGAATTAATCTGGCCCTTTACCATGTTTACTTCTGCAGACTAGCTTCCTTTTATGAGATGGCAATTCCTGAAATGGAGTCTGCAATTAAGAAGAGGAGGCTTGAAGACAGCAAGTGAGTCAGGCACAAAACCAAGAATCTGTGAGGGAAAGGGAAGCCTGAGCGTAGGCTGCAGCACCTCTGCCACTAGGACCAGGCATTCCAAAGGCCGTGGCAGCTGGAGCTCCCAGCCCTGTGCTTAGTGCTCTTCTGCACTGCTTTTTTTTTTTTTTTTAACTCTTTAAGAATTTCCTACAGGGCTGGGGACAAGGTTCAGCTTAAGAGCACTGGCTGCTTGTCCAAAGAACCTGAGTTCAATTTCCAGCTCACAACTGTAACTCCAGTTTCAGGGGATCTGACACCCTCACACGCACAAGCAGACAGAACATCAACGTATATAAAATAAAAAAATAATTAAAAAAGAAAAAAGAAAAGAATTTCATATAGTGTATTTGGACCATATTCACCCCTCCCCCAACTCATCCCTGGTTCACTCCCCCTTCCCTACTTCCCCAACATTAGGCCCTCTTTTTTTTTTTTTTCTTTAACATCTAAAGTCAAATCTGTGCTGCCCGT